AGACAAACAGACTTGCCATGGCTTCCCTCAAAGACTACTAGGAACTGGAGCTTTGTGAGGGTGCTAAGAATTCTCTGTAAGAGATGCCTGGTCTGCTACACATAAACCTAAAAGTCCTAGTATCTCCTTGGGGGAGAGGAAGAGAGATATGCCATGGCAGAAAAGATAATTTTGATTCCTGACTGTTTTTTGTTTTTTTTAATGTGTTTAGGCTAGAAAGCCTTGAGTGAAAATGTTGCTTGTTAGCACCACACTTCAAGGATTCTGACATAGTACATCTTATTGTGATCTTTAATCCATTATTTATGAATTTATACAAAATAAAAGGCCACAACTACATAGCATACAAAGCAGACGGAACAGTCAAGGCAGAATCAATCAACCAAATGAAATCTTGTCATTAGAATCTTAACATGGATCAAAATCAGTCAATCAATATTGCACAGACCTGGCTGGTACAAGCCATTACCGGCACCTTGGATGATTAAAAAGTTTGCACAAATCTCTAATAGGATTGGGGGAAAGGATTGGGCAGCTCCCAAAGATGGCAAGGCAAAAACACAGGGAGCAAATTCATCACTGCGAGTTATGTACATAATCAAGGGCCATTTGCACATTCTGTCCAGAGAGAGTGTTCAGGGATAGTGTCTGAAAACAGCTCTGTGGTAGAGCATCAGCTTTGCATGCAAAAAGGTCCCAAGGCATTTCCGTGTAGGGCTGGCATGGAATACTGTTGGAAACCCTGGAGAGTCGCTTCCAGTCAGAGTCCACAACACTGAGCTAGATGGGCCAGTGGCTTCACTCCGTGTGTCTCTCCAGGGTTTTGGTGGCCTATTTCAGGGGTGGGGAATCTCAGACTCAGGAGCCAAATATGGCCCTTGAATCCTATCTATCTGTGGAAATGTAAAGAAAAAGAAGGAACATTTTATCCCATGTGGTGGGAATGTAAAAAGGTGAAATGCTTCTGGGAGATGATATATAATGAGTTGAAGAAAATGTTGAAATATACATTTATAAAGAAACCAGAAGCATTTTTATTGGGCGTTGTGGGGAGTGACATAAATAGAAAGGTATGTAAGCTCTTTTTATATGCAATAACAGCAGCAAGAATATTATTGGCCCAAAAATGGAAGAAAGAAGAGTTACCGACGATTGAAGAATGGAGGATGAAGTTAATGGACTATGCAGAATTAGATAAACTAACAGGAAGGATTCGAAACCGGTGAGACCAGAAATTCACAGAAGACTGGAGTAAATTTACAGACTATTTGAAAAGTAATTGTGAAGAACAGACGACGTTTGTAGGGTTGCAAGAAGTTTTGTGAGGAGTGTTATTAGAAGTATTGTAAAAATGGACAAGGGGGAGGATGATTGTTAAGAGATGTAAAGGCAAAAGAAAGTTAAGAAATGCATAAGAAGTGGTTAAAACAGTGGATCATCAGAGGTGCTGATGGAAGTCTAAAAAGAGTGTATAAGTGATAAGTTTTGTGGTACATTTTATAATTTATATGCTAAAATTAATAAAAAATATATTTAAAAAGAATCCTATCTATCTGGCCCCTGGGACTGTCTCTCACCCCATGCTCTTCTTTCCTAGCCACACCCTCTTTGATTGTCTTTGCCTGGGATGTGTCCTTGACTTCTGATAATGTCTCTTGTTCGCTATGACAGAGGACAGTGAGAGGTGTGTAGAAGCTAGCCTATTGAAAGGCAACATTTGCATTCATTCCTCCTCCCACTTTTCTCCTGGCCCCGCCCACTGGCATGTGACTCTCAGAAGGGAACATGGCTGAAAAAGGTTCCACGCCCTTGCTCTATTTGCATCTCTTCCCAGTTGTTGAGCTGGCAAGATCTTCCTACTCCACTAAGCTTTTGGTTTCAAGCTCTCATATGAAACGAGATCAGTTAAGGGGTTAAGCAAAATATGCTATACAAGGCAGGGTTTTGGATGAAAAGCAGTTGCACCCCCATGGGTCAAGACATCATGTCTAGGTCTTGTCTCTTGATGAGTTTTCCCCCTCAACCGCTGCATATTCTCTCCACCATCCCATCCTATTGGTAGCCAAATTCAAAACCCACAGTTCTTCAGGCCAGGCATGGCACAAGGGTCAGGAATTGCATTGCAAAATGAAGAAAAGTCAGTGTTTATGGAAAATGCCACAGAGCAGGAATAGCATTTTAATTTCAGTTGAAAGCAGGAGGGGAAAGTCAACCACAGAAATCCATCAGCTGCTGACCTCTTGACCGGCCCTCAAGGCAGCCCCAGACTACTGGACCACACAACCTCTCTGGACCAGATTGTGCATATATATATATATATGCATGCACTGGGGCAGGGGGAGAGAGAGAGATTTGAGAGTGCAGGAGGCAGAGAAAACACTCTGTGGTTTTGGGTGACTGGATTTCATATAAACTTCAGAAGGAACAAGAATCATCTCATGTTTACAGTATCAAAATCCTCCAAGGGCAGAGAGATGTTTTGCTCCTTCGGCAGATGTGGGAGGCTATTAATAGGAGCAGCCAAGGGACTCTCTCGGGACAGCTGTTGGACAGATTATGCCTCTGCTTTTTGCTCATGTTTAGCACTCATTCAGTCTTCCAGAACCTCCTAGGAACTTTGTTGGCTTAGGAATGTAGGAAGCTGCCGTACACTGAATCAAATGAATGTCCCGTCTCATTCAGTATTAACTACATTGCCTAGTAGTGACTCTCTGGGATTTCAGGCAGGATAAGGCACCTTCCTATTTCCCCATGTTCCTGTGAGGTATTACTAACAATGTAGTAGAGACCTGAAGTGGAGCCAATCGTCTGCAGCTTTTTCACCACGCCATCAAAGTGTGGTTTAGGGAACTGATGAATCTGTCAATTTTCGTTTCTCTCAGTTTCTACTTCTTCCAATCTAAAATTCAGCTCTCCACAATTCAGCATTCATTACCATTTTAGTGTGCCTTTGTCCTAACAACCACAATTTTGACTAATATACACATCTTTGCAAGAAATTTCCCCTAATGCAATGCAGTTCTGTATGTTATTTCCACTAATACATGCATTTTTGCACAGCCTGTTTGGCTAGAGAATTGCATCGCAAAATTCAGAGATGTGCGAATCTTATAGGCTAGCTTTTTTTGTTTGTGTATTGGATCAATAAGTGGAAATTGGGCAGCTTCTTATCAAAATGCACACAAAATTCCATCCCCCATCCTTCCTGGGTTACAATCATTTGGGAGTGAACTGGGCATTTGAAAATATTAGGCCTTCCCCTTCTCTTCATCTTTTCCATCTCTCCCACAATCCACTCAGAGAGTGGTGTGATCACAAGCTGCATTCTGCAGCCTCCCCATCTATGGAAATTCCCTCTCTCCAGCTCTGGAGATTCCTTCATGTGTTGCCCATAAACTTTAAAGTTTAGAATATAGATGTATATATGATGCCAAATTCCATCACGGTTTGCTGCACCCTATCTGGAGAGACGGTTTGGGAGTTGAAATTCTGAGCCTTGTTGGTCTGAGGGCAGAGAATACACAATGTACTTTTGAGTGATTCAGAGTCTCTGCCTGCAATTCCATTTGGGCTTCACAGCGCTGGACTGAGGCAGAGAAACAGATAAGGCAGCAGGGGGAAAACGCCATTATATTAGCTAAACCCAAGATTAATTTGCAAAGCACACCAGGCAGACCTAGTGCAATTTCAATTCGGTCGTAAGGCTGAGATGGATAAATGCATGAAAGAGGAGTTTGGATTGCCTCTCTTCTCCTTTATTCAGGTGTCTTCACTGCAGACCACTGGGATATCAAAGAATACCTACCTTGGTCATAACCGACGTGAATGCAATTAACTTACAGAATTCACTGCTGCAAATCATGGCAAAGCTCACTGTGGGGTGTTGTTTTTTTTAAAGGATCAGATTATTGCAATTATCTCCAGAGCACCCAAGGTGAGGTACATGCCTCCCTCCCCATTTTATCCTCACAACGACCCTGTGAGGTAGATCGGAGCTGAGAGACTGTGACTAGTGCAGGGTCACCCAGTGAGCTTCAGGAATGTGAACCCTGCTCTCCCTGGTCCAGCACTGTAACCACTGTACCACGCCTGCTTCTGCTCTCATGCCACAAGCTCCTCAACTTTGTGTTGCAGCGCTTTGATAATCAGAAACTCAAGAAATGCTCTTTTGCTTGATTCCCAGGCACCTTGAGTACCTCTGAAGCCACAGTCATCAATAATCCTGCAAATAAACATCAGTGTGGGGGTGTGGAGGGGGAGGAATGAAGCATATCCAGTCCTGCATTGTGACCTACCAATGACATTTGTGTTAGTTTGATTTTTGCATCTGACGCTCCCAGTGCTCTGAAAGCGAAAGTCGATTTTTGATGTTCTTGCCTTCCACCTCCCTTCCCCCCTCTCTCTCTTTTAAAGTGCCTACATAAACCTTTAACCAACCAGCCCTTTGCATTTATCTTTGCTAGCCTTGAAGAGAACTTGAGCGACAGCTGTGCTGGATGTGCATTGAACCCATTGATCAAAGGAAGTGGGGGAAAGGAAAACATCCCAGTGTTTTGTTGCAGTGGTTTTTTCTTTTTCTTTTTAAAATTCAAGTGGGTGGGTGGGGGGAACTAATTTGGACCCGGAGCAATAAGGCATAACAAGAGCAAGCAGAGTCTTGCTAGCCCCTGAAGTAGCATTTCAAGTATAGCATAATCCTTGTTACTCATAAGTTTGAAAATAATTTTAGGTTTGAAAATAGGTATAGAAGAATATTAAAGTAAAAGTCACATTTCTATGGTATCATCATCATCGTGATCATGAATCAGCAGCAACGCACAGTGACTTATACAGTTCCACAGGCTTCAGGGAGAGATTGAGTCCAAGGAGCCTATGATCATCATATCTACAGAAATGGAGCCAAAGTGAGCTAAGGAGAAGCAAGAGGAAGAAATCAGAGTATTTCAAGGGTCCCCAAGGTTTGCAGAAGTACAAAAAAGAATGAAATAGAAGCCATGAAAAACTGGGCCACTGTACTTTTAATAGTTGTGCAAACCCAAGAACTTGGGTAGCTGCAATTTGTCAAAAAGGAATGAGGAAATCTGCCCTGATGGGAATTGTAGTACAGAAATCTTTTTTTAAAAGGTGCAGATGGAGTTCTATTCTCCTTTTCTTTTGGCCCCTTGACTGAATGCCGTCAACACTGTTTAGATGGCCTCCACCTTCTAAGATCTTGCCAGGTATTTCCCACCTCCAAACTTGCAAAACAGAACTTCCAAGCTTCAATGACTAGTCACCTGTGGGTTGAAAATTTAAAAATTATATCAGAGTTATCAGAGCACCAAATTATCTAGACAGTACCAATCTCCACATTTTTGCCCAACTATTCACACCTAGCCAAACTTGCCTTCTTCCCATTACCCCTAGCAACCTACAACAACCATTTACCAGAAATACGAGGAACAGAGGCAAAGGTAGATTATAAATCCTTAATAATGTTGTCATATTTCATGGGGTCATAGGAGCCAACTCCTAGAGGCTGAGGTCCCTTCAGCCCCCACAATAAAAGATTTGAGGGGGCCATGGTCCCCCAAAGTGGATGGGCATTGCCATTCAAATGGTTTGTGGGGCTTAACTGCCCCCCCCCATTTTATTCAAGTTGGCACTCCTGCATGGAAGCATGGTCAGGGCTGGGGAAACAGAAGACTTCCAAGTAATTTCCAAGTCCTTCCCTATCATCCTTGTCAAAGCCGAACTCTTTAGCTTGTTTGGTCACTCTCTGCTTCGCTGGGTGTTTCTCAGGTTTGTCTGCAGGGATTTATTTGTGTTGGAATAAGCAGCAGCCTTTAATTAAGAGCCAGCTGGACTGAGAGGAAAAAACCCTGAGAGGGTTTGTATGCCCAGGTCCTGGAAGCTAAGTAGCCTTCTTGAATTGTGAGTTTAATTTTGCTTTCCCTTTTCCTCCTAACTTCTGCCATAACATGTGATGCCTGATGTTACCGGACCCTCCAAGTGTCCCAATTTTCCAGGGACGTCCCTGATTTAGAGAAGCAGTCCCAGTTTCTGGTTTCATCCTGGAATGTCCCTCTCTTCCTTAAAAGTTAAAGGGACCCCTGACCGTTAAGTCCAGTTGTGATTGACTCTGGGGTTGTGGCGCTCATTTTGCTTTACTGGCTGAGGGAGCCGGCGTTTGTCCACAGACAGCTTCTGGGTCAACTAAGCTGCTTCTGGCGAACCAGAGCAGCGCACGGAAACACTGCTTACCTTCCCGCCAGAGCGGTATCTATTTATCTGCTTGCACTTTGGTGTGCTTTTGAACTGCTAGGTTGGCAGGAGCAGGGACTGAGCAACGGGAGCTCACCCCATAGCGGGGATTCGAATCCACCAACCTTCCATCGCCAAGCCCTAGGCTCTGTGGTTTAGACCACAGCGCCACCCTTAGGACATCCCTATTTTCATTGGGAAAATGTCGGAGGGTTTGTGTTACTAAGCAAAAGAACCTGTTTAAAGCTTACAGCAGTGTCTGTCTTCCTTGCAGTGACCACAAACCTATTCAACAAAACTATGGTGTTGCAGGGATGAGGTCCCTGCTGGGAGAAGGGTGGATTTTGCCCTGACAATTCTATGAGTATATGATGGAGATGTGAAAGCTTCCACAGTCGAGGAATGTTTCTTCATTTTTCAAGGAATGTGTTCCCTTCCCCCTGGTATTTGGAAGTACCGTACTTTTCTGTGTATAAGACTAGGTTTTTTTTACTTAAAAATTATGCGAAAAACTGTGGGTCATTTTATAAATGGGGCAATCTCTCATCTCTCCCCTATTTTCTTAAACTGGAGTCCCTAAAAATAGAGGGCGTCTTATACGTGGGGGCATCTTATACGCTGAAAAATACGGTATTTTCTTTCCATCTTGAGAAAATGCCACAAAGCGTTCTCTCTCCCCGCCTCTTCCTCCCCTCCCCAATTTCCAGTTTATCAACTATCCTATCGAGCCGCACGTGTAGGCACAGATGTGGCAACAGACCTCTTTCAATTAATGGAGTGGCCTCTCCAACAGGCTATGCTTAAGGGTGCTTGGCTTGTAGAGAGGCTGGTGAGAGCCCACTGCAGTGGGAGATGCGCCTCCAACCGCAACTGGAGCAGCAGGCAGCTAGAGAAGCAGCACTTGGCCCCGAGACATCGACTGATTACACACCATTTGTATCAAGAACACATTGTGCTTTCATGACACAGCCCAGGATCTCCAAAGTTTAGAGGGCTTCAGCCCATCTCCAGAAGCAACTTAGGGGTGTTATGCCAGATCCAAATATTTCTAGCAGCAGCTCTCAGGGTCTCATCCTGTTACCTGCTACCTGATTCTTTCAACAGGAAATGCTTTTGGTGATTAAACCTGCGACCTTCTCCTTACAAAGCCAGTGCTTTGACCTAGATTCCCTCCAATGGTCTCCAATGGACTTCGCGCTTCAAAATATGTATACAGCTAAATTCTTGGCCGACATGATTAAAATGCATGGCGAGTTGACAGCATAATATATATAATCACTCCGAGTGAATAGCAAGTTATCAGAATTATCTGAAGTATGTGTGGTTAGCGCTGAAGACTTTATATGTGGTCTGCAAACTGTATACACACAGAAACACTGATTGATTGATGCCATACCACCAGTTAGGAAACGTCTCAAGAAACAAGCTTCTGTCTGAATGTAAACTCTAATTATCCTATTCTACTCAGAGTAGACCCACTGAAATTAATAAATATGACTAAGTCAGGTCCATTAATTTGGATGAGTCTACCTTGACTAAAACCTAGTTGAATATCACCCCATACCTTGTAAATATAAATTACCACCCCATTGCCTTGTAGAGATAAAATACTATTTAAATACACATGATGAAACATGCACAAACTTTTGTACATATTTTAAGGATGAGGAAGTGCAGATTAATGTGGAAAGGGGAGGAAATGGGCTTATGAAACTTATGAATGAACACAGACTGAAAATAGATGAGTCCCTCTGTCGCTAGTTAATTTACATCTTATTTGTCAAATTCTCTCCTCCTCCTCTGCAATGAAGGCTTTTAAGAAAAGAAATAATCAGAAGTGCTTGAAGGCCTCTAGTAAATTCTTTCACAGCTAAGCAACAACCATTCAGTGGGAAGCTGGAGAACACTTCAGGAGACAAAGGCTTTTGACATGCCCCTGTTTAAGGAAAGGTTGTTTCTTCCACCAGATCAAAGGAATAACACACACACCACTGTTGTGTGGAGAGCAGCCCCCTGCCAAGATCTGCAGGGCAACCAAAGCTCAGGGAGAACCTAGTGTCATGGGAATGTGGGTGCCTTGATGAAAGGAAACTAGGTTCTCCAGCATAACTTCCGGGCAATGTCTGCCGCTGGGAGCTTCAAGTCCTGTCTGGGGAGTAAAAATCGATGCAATTATCTCTGCATTTCTTCCCCTTTCTTGTCAAGAAAATGTGGAGATGGAGCTAAGTGGATCATCGTCAAGCTGGAAGGAAAATGTTGATCTGCAGGAGGCCAGTCTCTCCAAAGGCGAGAGAATGAAGGAAGCTTTCCCCCCCTCTTGCTATTCTTCCTCTTTAGTGAAAATTTCGATTACAGAATTTTACTGATATCCAAAACCTGCATTGCACCCATCTCCAGATGGCCGCATTAGCTAAGGCTTACCTCTCTAACTCAACTTATCCATTAAGCAGAGTGCTGTGATTCTTCCCGACACACGTATATATCACATCTCCAATCTTGCTGGGGACAGGCTGCAGCCAAAGAGGAAGGAAGGTGCTTAACCCTTTTCCTTACAGTCATTCTCCAGTTCAAAAAAAGCTGTGGAGAGAAAGATACAGGAAAATACTGCTTTTTACAGGTGAAAAAGATCTGGGGCAGGGAAGCGGTTATGAGTTTTAAAAGAACCGGAGGGGAAAGTTTAAAGCAGTCTCTGTCAACCAACCCTTGCTCATCTTTGTCTTGTCATCCAACTAGCCAAGGACTGAGCCATAAGGTCCCTCCAACACATACAGTATAAGAGCATAAGAACAGATCAGACCAATGGCCCATCTAGTCCAATGCCCTGTTCTCACAGTGGTCAACTAATAATAATAATAATAATAATAATAATAATAATAATAATAATAATAATAATAATTTATTTATACCCCACCCATCTGGCTGGGTTTCCCAAGCCACTCTGGGTGACTCCCAACAGAATATTAAAAACATGATAAAACATCAAACATTAAAAACTTCCCTTAACAGGGCTGCCTTCAGGTGTCTTCTAAATGTCAGTTTGTTGTTTATTTCTTTGACATCTGGTGAGAGGGAGTTCCACAGGGCAGGCGCCACTACCAAGAAGGCCCTCTGCCTGGTTCCCTGTAACCTCACAGTGAGGGAACCACCAGAAGGCCCTCGGCACTGGACCTCAGTGTGAACAAGGGAGGTGGAGACACTCCTTCAGGTATAAATGTTTTAAAATAACAAAACGAAAATAAAACAGGAAGGTGCCTTCTATCAGGTCGGGCTATGGATCCATCTAGCCCAGGATTGCCCATGATGACCAACAGCACCCTCAGAAGAAGAAAGACTTTGCCACCTCCTGCTTCCTGAGAACCTTTGAACTGGAGACTCAGCCAAGGTTTGAACCTGGGAACTGCCTGAATACAAAACAAGAGCCTTCAGCACTGAAATATCACCTCTCCCCAGCTTATGCATGCTCCAGTCTATGAAACCCCATCTCTCGCTGCTTCGTCTGTCAACCTTGAGCCAACTTTGCTCCAGCAACTGGACGCCTTCCAAGGTGGGCTCCCTGCTCTTGCTGGCCTTTGCCACCAGAGGGCCTCTCCTACAGGCTTGCCTGCTTGGTTCTGCCAATGGATCCTCCGACTGGAAATCTCCTGGGCTCCAAAGTCCCCAGTCTATCTAGGTTTACCCTTTCTTTTCTTTTCTTTTTTGCACGACAGTCTACCCAGACTTGTCCTCGTATTCATCTTCCATTCCTTGACTCAGTTGTCTTCCCTCCCGCTGTGCCCATCAGTCCGTCCCCCTCATTTCCAGGTGGGAGTTGAAACGCGACTCTCACATCATCAGGGGCTCCCACAGCCCGACACTGCTCTCGCTTTCCACAGCTCTGTGCAGACGGATGCCTCGCACCTCCAAGACATTCCAGAGATTTTATTTTGTTTTATTAGGATGTAACGTGGCTCTCCAAGGCGAACTCCTCATTAATCAATTAGCCAATGACGCTTTGGCAATCATTCTGAGCTCACTTTTTCAAAGCTGTGATCCAGCTTTGCTGCTCATTAAGGGAGGCACAGATTTATATGCCAGGCTGTTAATATGTTGTATGTATAATTATATCATGCCCTGGTCAGCTAATAGCTCCCCAAATTACTGGAAACTGATTGAAATAACCTTTTTATTAAAAAAAAATCTGTGTTGAAATTAGCAATTAATTGATTTCTGTAGCAGATTGCTCTCTACTAGTCTGTTCTTCTATAAATAGAAAAATCGGAAAGTGTCCAGGAGCTGGAACACTCAGGACAGATTATAATGTTTAACAGTACTGGAACTAACAAGCCGGTCTTCTTTTGAGCGTATGGTGGCCTAGATCAGCCTTCCCCAACTTGGTGCCCTCCAAACATTTTACCATAGAATTGTAGAGTTGGAAGGGATCCCAAGGGTGATCTAATCCAATCCCCTGAAATGCAACAGCCCCCATTAACACCCACTGAGCTTGGGAAATTAGTGGCTGATGTGATGTGGGGAGGATCGCCCCCCCCACACTGTTCAGTGCTGAGAAAAGAGGCATCACTAGTTTAGGGTGTTGAAGAGGGAATCAAGCAGTGGCAGACTTGGGGGGCCCAAACTTCAGTGGCGCCCTGCGTGATGTCCCATTTGGCTCCCACACTCTCGCCTCACCCACCTAAGTGTGCGGCCATAAGAAGGGACCAAAAGATATCCCCTCACCTTGCACCCGTGTGTCGTCTTCTTCCTTCCACAAGCAGTTCCGGCTTCCGGAAGTGTGGCACCAGCTTCTGGAAGTACATTGGCCGTACAGCCCTTGAAGCGGCAGTGGGTCTTCAGATTGGGGGGGGAGTGTAGTGAGCCCCAAGGGAGGGGAGCCAGAGCCGAGAGCCAAAGAGGAAAGGATGAGGCCTGAGTAAGAGGGGATGAGGCCTTCATTGAGGTTGTGTCCCTATTTGTCTCACTGGGATGTTGGAGAGTATGGTACCGGGAGAGGTATTACTAGGTTAAAAGGGGGGTAAAGGAACCCTGGACAGTCAAAGGCAACTATGGGGTTGTGGTACTCATCTTGCTTTCAGGCCGAGGGAGCCGGGGTTTGTACACAGACAGCTTTCCGGGTCATGTGGCCAGCATGACTAAGCTGCTTCTGGTGGAACAGGGCACCGTGACGGAAAACAGAGCACACGGAAATGCCATTTACCTTCCCGCCGCAGCGGTACCTGTTTATCTACTTGCACTGGTGTGCTTTCTAACTGCTAGGTTGGCAGGAGCTGGGACAGAGCAATGGGAGCTCACCCCATTACAGGGATTTGAACCACCGACCATCTGATCAGCAAGCCCAAGAGGCTCAGTGTTTTAGACCACAGCGCCACCCACAGCGTCCAAGTTTATATGGGTGGGCATGCTAACAGGCCACTTAGAAATTACTTTTCAGGTTCTGATGATAGTGATGGATGGTGTTCTATGAGGGACAAACCACACACAGACACATTCCACCAAGAAAAACAACTCGCCTTTGCTTTCAAGCGAGTGTCGCAGCTGGAGTGCAACCAGTCTGGATCCATTTGGCTCTGCAGGAGTCTCGAAGTGAACTCCTCCGGAAAATCCTAGACTTTGAAAATTGTTTCAACTCAACCACTTCCCAGCAGGTGCTCACGCAAACTCCCTTTGTGTGCAGTTGCTAAGTACAGAAAGAGACCCTCTTCAAAAGTGGCAAGCGTGGGATAATGCAGCATCTGCTAAAGCCATATCTACCTTACTTCATTTTCTTGTTGCAGGGCTGGGAGCGGGGAGAGAGAGACTACATTAACAGGTCCCAGGGGAAGTCTTACTAACTGAGCTATCTATATAATTTCAACGGGGAGTAATCTGATCTATAAAAAAAACAACCACAAAAGACACCCTAGCCTGCAAAACCAGGCTATTGTTCACTTGTTGGTGCTGATGGGAGTTGTAGTCCAAAACAGCCACAGTGTGCTGGTCCCGTGGGTTACCCAAGAGATGAGGTCCAAGTCCGGTCCATGGTCAAAGGTGCAACATGGAGGCAGTCCGTAGTAGCTGAAGCTGGGTGCAGGGCAGGGAGTCAGGTGAAGTCAGGAGCAGGCATGCAAGCAGGGAGCCAGGGCAGGGCAGGAGATCTGGCAGGAAAACAGGACAGGGTTCAGGCAGGAACTAGCAACCAACTATGTTGCTCCCACAACTTGGGACTGGGGCTGGCCAGGTTTTATCTGCCCCAAGGCATATGGTGGCCCCAGTCCTCAGGTGACTCACCTCTCCTGGCCTGGAGGCGAACACTCCTCCTGTGGGAACTTAGTTCCCTCTGCCTCTCTGCCCTGAGCCTCTGCAGCTCAGGAGAGGCTGGAGGGTTACCGGACCCGGAGGCAACCTCAGCTTCCTCTGATGGGATCACTTCAGGAGCCAGAGCAAACTCAGCTGGTGCCTGCACCTGAGGATCCAGCACAGGTGAGGACCCTTCAGGCTCAAGCCCCAGCTCAGCTGGTTCTGGAGGCGGGGAATCCTGTGCAGGCTGGGATCCCTCAGGTTCAGCATTCGACTCTGCATCCCAGGCCATCACACACAGGGACACAGGTTGAAACAGAAACTATGTAAGAACCTGGCTTTTGAAACTGACCAGGGTCAGGGGAGTGAATTGCAGAAAAATGAGCAAATTGTTTCCTATTGAAATCCTATTGAAATCCCTTGGGAGAGAGTGTTAGATATCTAGATATATTTAAATGTAAATGCTGCAGGCCTGGCCAACCTTCATTCAGGCTAAACAGAATTACTCCAGGTGAATTGACTCTCCATTTTATATGGCTCATTGTTTCTTCTTCTCTGATTCGGGGACTTTTCCTTCCTTTCTTTCTTGCCAAGCCCATCATCTGTTTGAAGCTGTCGGAATTGTTGCAGGCGGTTTATTTTGTTAAAACTATTCCATAATGGACAGCCGAGCTCTCAGGAATAGAGGAAATTTGATCACTGTCTATATATACTTTCTACCCCCTTGTCCCCCATAAAACTAATTAATGATTTTTAAAATTGAGTAAAAGGCTCACTTGATATGGTTCCCTGAGCTATAGCACTACTGGCAATGAGGGGGAGGTATTTAAAATGAATTTCTCAAGCTAAAGAGAAGAAGGAAAGGGCGGGGAGCTTCAAAGCGCATGTTTAATTGTGCATGTCATATTTTAAATAACCAGCACAACTCCAGCTGTTTTGGGCACTGATCTGAGAAGCCAGTCTCTGCAATCCAGATGTAACCCTTTCGGGATGCCTCCAACTGCATGTTATGACATTGATGTTGTTTTTAAAACATATTATTCTCCCGTTTCAGATTTGGAAACATTTTGGGTGGCCTCTTATTAACTGAAAGGCCAGTATTATTAATAACAATCCTGATTCACTTATCTGCTTTTAACAATAACAATAACAGTAACAGTAACATAACAATAACAATAACAATAACAATAACAATAACAATAACAATAACAATCCTGACTTGCTTATTCACAAGACCTACAGCTGGAAAACTCAAGCATAGCCTGAGAATAGCTCTGCCTACATGTCATCGTGATATAAAT